CAGCGTGCTGGCTGGGGAATTCTGGGAGTTGACGTCCACGCATCTTAAAGTTGCCAAGGTCGAGAAACACTGCTTTAACCCAACATTGTCACACTGATCCGTTTTCTAGCCGTTGAAGTCCACGCATCTTAAAGTTGCCAAGGTCGAGAAACACTGCTTTAACCCAACATTGTCACATTGATCCATTTTCTAACCATAACGCTGGACAAATCTGGGGCCTTTTTGGATGCAAAGCAGAAAGACTGCCATCTCCGCTAAAGAGGCTTCTCAGATCCCATCGTTCTGAATCCCCAAACGAAACCGCATCTCCGAGTAACTGGCACGTCCATTGCATACCCCTTGGATGGTCTCTGATTGTAATACAGTTGAGCTGATCCGAAGGTGAGCCAATCTACCCCCTTCGCAAGGTTTTGCGGGAATGCACACCCAAATATCTCTTTTCAGCGCACAGTTCCATGCGAATTTCATCTGAAATCTGAAGAAATGGGAGGACGGTCAACTCGGCAGGAAAAACACCAGGGAGAGATGTGCCTATCCTTTGCAGTTAGGCCTTCTGTTATAAAAAGTCTTAAAAACTGCATGACGTGAAATGTGTCCGTCGCCGTAACAGAACCGGACAGTCCCCTTTGACCGAATGATCTGCGCTTCTGTATTTAGTTATCTGGGAATCAATATTTTGACCGAACAAAGATGCTATTATTCGGATTTTGTGTTGTCGCTCTCCTGGGATGGAGGGTTAGCTTTGCTCCCAGAGAGCTTTTGACCAAAACGACTCGCCAGCACATTCGTCACAAGATACGATATCCCTCTCCCCCGGGAAAACCGTTCAGAAGGACGGGGAGGCAGGTGAATTGCCTTGGACGAACCTTTGCTCCTGGAATCGTTGCAAACGAGGAATGACGGGGCGGCCGGAGAGGAACGGAAGCCGATATTGCCAAGTCATGGGGTGTGTGAGATGGTTTTATAAACAGTTTATGCGTCGACGCCACCAGCCTCTTGCTTCCCGGCCGCCTTCCAGCTGTAATCCTTCCGTTTTGCAACCCGACCGCCGAATGAACGGAGAAGAGGAACAATTTCATAAGCTCCGTTTTGTTTTTGGAAAAAGCTGGGTGAGCAGGAGAAGGTTTTGAGGTTGGTTCGACTCTGAGGATGCATCGTCAGCTGGGAACCCGAAGCCTTTGCCTCCTCTTCCTTCTCCTCCTAGTTTAAAAAGAAAATATATATATATATATATATATTATTAACTAAGTTTTGTTTCGGTTTGCCTATTCCAATTGCAAGGGGGGGGTTGATAAACGAAGCAACGTGGATGCTGAATCCTGCAGCCAGCCCGCCAGCCCGCCAGCCCTCCCCTTTCATAGGAAGCTCCATTTCACACCCTCCACCCTCCAATCCATCAATTCTCCTGGGCTAATAAAGACGTTTTATCTTTTTGAGATTTGCTTATTATCGGCAAAACAACGTTCACGGTTAGTCTGCGCACGACTCTCCCTCGTGCTTGGCACGCCCCCAGGAGTCCAGAGAGCTGGTGAGGGAATAAAATTAAAGGAAACAAAAGAACATAAATAAGTTAAGGGATGTGATTTCCTAGCCTCGTAGGAAACTAATACCTAGTGCAATCCCTGCATGTAGAAATCTAGCTAGACCTGTCTTGCTAGATTTCTACACGCAGGGATTGCACTAGGTATTAGTTTGGAAACTCCTGATCAAACTCATTAAGTAAAAGTTAGTTTGTTCAACTACTGGGATGTGTTTTGAGATGTTGGACTGTTTCTGTTTGGAAAATAACAACAACATTAATAACAATTATTGTTTAAAATTAGGCACAAATAAACATGAGAAAATATCAGGGTGTCTTTCCCCCCTCTTTTAAGGGGGGGAGTGATGGACAAGTGACCGCCATAGGAAAGACAAGGTGGGGCTTTCCAATCATTTGTCTGTTGGCTTCATCTGATTGTGGGGTAGACTGCCCCTGAAAGAGGAGGCTCTGTTCCTAGTTAGTATGAATGCAAACCCTGGCTGGTTCTCATTTTCTTAACAGATCTGGCTCACTCTTTGGAAACGCTGCCCTACACCTATGTCATTTAACATTTCATATCAAGGGCAGAAATCATTGGCTAAGTAAGGAATTGCTGAAGTTGACGG